ATTATGGAGAAACTAAAATCAGAGAAAGATGATTTCAAAAGAACACTTGAAAGAGGATTTAGATATAGTTTTAATGTTGTAGTTGATGGAGACCATATTAGAGTTAGAGAACAAACTTTAAGGGATAAAGGTTATGATCATGAAGAAGGTCGCGATAATTATGGTGAAGAACATGATGATGATAACTATTATAGGGATGTTTACTCAGTAGGACGAAGAATTATAAAAGAAATTTACGAGAAATATCGAGATAAATAATAATTATTATGAAAAAGTTACATTTTTGTATCATAAAGAACCAAAGTAATATCAAAGGGTGCTAAAACTATATATAAAGTACAAGTATGACATACAATATTGCATTGATAGGTCAAAAATTCCTGTATATAATGGAAGTGGAATATGATTGAATGAAGTATTTTAATCCAGGTGCTGCTCTTGAAATGTTTACCGAAAAAAAGGATCAAGAAGCATTTAAAATCTCTATATTTAACTCTAATTTCTATTCCCGGGCAGCAGGCGAGATAATGGAAAAAATATTTACTTCGGATGAAAAAGAAAAATTAAAAAATTTAATAGAAGGATTAGAAAAAGAAGAGAATTCTTTGATAGTTAGTGCTCGTTCGGAAGTGAGCAAAACAATAAATGAACATAAAAATAGGACTCTCTCACTTCATGATTATAATTCTCTTAATTTCGGTTCAGGAGCAAAAGAAGAAAAAGAAAAAGTTGAAAAATGACTAAATGGCATAGTTGTGGGGGTTTTTGAAAAAATTCCGCCTTATGCTTTAGATTTATTAGGTTTGATTAAAGTTGACAAAGAAAACTTTCCGCAAAGTTATAATTTGTTTGAGCGAGTGTTAAACACACTTAACCAAGATAAAGAACTTTATGACCAAGGAAAAATAAAAGAACACTTTTCCCAAGCCTTAGAGGAATTAGAAAAATTAGTAAAAAGCGTTAAAAGCAAAAAGAAACCGAACAAAACTAAAAAAGAAGAGAGTGCAAACGTAGGAGAAGAAAATGTTGAAAACGAAACTCCGCCTGAACAGACCCCCCCTAACCAGAACCAGTCGGAAGGGGATAAAAATGTCCCTACTGACTCAAACGAGAAGCCAGAAGGACAAAATAATTCAGAAAACAATGAGAACACCAATGAACCTAATAATGATACTTCTTCTAACTTGCAAACTCTCAAAACTCAAGTTATCTCTGAAATTACCGCTGCTCTCAACGAAACCCCTCTCTTAAATAATTCTGATTTGTCTTCAAAATACCAAGACTGGGAAAATGAAATCAATAATCTTTCAGACGAAAAAGATATTAATTTTTTAAAAACTAGTGTGCTGTTCGATATTGAGGACCAAAGAAAAGAGAAAGTAAAAAGACAATCTACTGGCGAAGTTAGTGAAATAATAAA